TTGTGCTGATTGCAGAGCCGTCAATTAATAATGGTAAAATATAGGCACCATATTCCTAGGTTAGATGATATGTTGAGCGAACTTAATAGAGCTACCATTTTTATCAAAATATCTTAAAAGCGGCTATTATCAAATTAGGATGAACCCCGAGGATGAATGGAAAATCACATTCAAGAAAAAGTATGGCCTGTATGCATGGTTAACAATGCCCTTTGGACTTTCCAATGTCTCTAATACCTTTAAGAGGCTAGTTAACATTCTTACAATAATTCCTCAAAAAATTTGTGGTAGTATACTTTGATGATATTATGATTTATAGTTAAACCTTAAAAGACCACCTCGAGCATATTCGTTATGTTCTTAAAGTTCTTAGGAAAGAGTAGTTATATGGAAATTCCAAGAATTTATAGTGATAAACTGATATTTCTAGGGTTTGTGGTAAGTGCTCAAGGCATTGAGGTAGATGAGGAAAAAATGAAAGCCATTAGAGAATGGCTTATGTAGAAAATCACCAGTGAGATAAGAAATTTCCATAGATTTCCAACTTCTATTTCAAGTTTGTTAAGGATTTTAATTGTATCGTAGCACTTCTACATGGGTTGGTCAAGAAAGACGTGAAGTTTGCATGGAGTGGAAAACAAAATGTTGCTTTTACTTTATTAAATAAAAAATTATATTCTGCACCTATTCTTTCTTTACCTAACTTTAACAAAACTTTTGACATTGAATGTGATACCTCAAGTGTAAGTATAGGACCGATTCTTATATAAGAAGGGGCATCTAGTAGTCTACTTCAGCGAAAAGCTTAATAATACACCATTGAATTACTCAACCTATGACAAATAGTTGCATTCTTTTATAAGATCATTTGAGGTATGACAACACTATCTGCTGTGAAAAGAATTTGTGATTCACACCGATTATAAGTCCCAAAAACATCTTAAGGGCCAAAGTAAACATAACCGTCAGCATGGTAAGTGGGTGGATTTCATCGAGTCTTTCCCATATGTCATCAAGTA